GTTTGTTGTTTAACGTCCCTCTCGAGAATTTTGGACTCATATGGAGACGCCATCGTTTGCCGGTGGAGAGCTGCAAATCCAATACTCGGCACTCAAGGCCATTGAGCAGTGAGGGATCTTTTTCGTGCCAACTACGCGACTCTAGATCAGACGCTCTAACCACTGCGCCACGTAGGCGACGTGACAGATATTAATTTACTCATTTTCAAAACTAATTAACATTGTTTGCGGAGGGTATTAAAGTGTCTTTTGAGGTGATAATGCCAAGTAAGTTTATATGTATACCTTGTAATCTGTTTTAGCTAAATTTTTGCTCCAAATAGTAGATCCTTGAATCTCTTGGCCAAAAAAAAAGAATAGTTAGGTCATCAGAAAAGAAACCACAGTCATTTTAAAAGAAAATACAAAAGTCACAATTGAAACCCTCCCTGACCTTTTCACTGCCCAAATGGTTAGATTCAAGGTATATTCTTAACTAATTGAACACAATCGGTGAAACGTAAACATTAACAGTAACAGAGCTTGTGTCCTGTTTACAAAAACTTTTACGTTTCACAAGGCGAGTTCAATTTGGTAAAATATGCACACATCACGGACAGACGATACTGGTGAGTTAGTTTGCTTTTTCACATTTTTTACTCTGAATTTTCTGGATTATAGTTTTAAGTAGTATAGTGAGGGACATTTCATGCTAATCTGAGGAGCCACCAAATTTGAGGTGCCTACGATAGATCACGGAAGTGTATTATACCAGGATAACAAGATCAGGAAGTCAAAATCGGATATGAATAAATCAATAACACGAAGGTTTTAATCCTTTTAACAACTAAATCCGTTCATCAATACATAGAAGTAATATTTACATATTAAAATACTTTTACACCTGGTATTTTTTGGGACCATTTCAACAGATGTCGTGTAATGTTTATTCTTCGGGTTTATAAGAACAAGTTTCATTGAATTAATTTGTCAATGTGTAATCCAAGAGTATGTATGAAGTGTAATAAAGTCGGGGAAAATATATTTGCTATATGTTCTGATAAGAGGAGGCAAATTTGATATTTTCTTTGTAAAAGAATGAATACAAAAGATTGTACCCAATTGCTCTGGATTAATATAATGCAATGAAAAAGACTGTAAGATTTGTAGGTGATGATACAATAATTAACGTTCCTTATGAGGATCGTAAGGGAGAATGGATGTTAATGGCTGTGGACAGAAGTCGATTTCAGAGACGGATCGATAGTCTATCACAAATCCTCGAACCAATACTTGAGTAACATTTAGTTTCATATAGATTAAGATACTCGTTCAAACGTTTAACGATAAAACAATATTAAATTAAAGTATTTAGAATTCCGTAATTCAGTTCCATTACAAATGAAATAAATAAAAGTCAGAATAGACCCTAATATTAAGAAGAGTGTTCCATTTAAGGTATATTTAAAATACATGCTAGATTATAAATATTTAAAAGATGTGTATAAATGCAGTAAACATGATTCGGAAAGGATTAATTCCATGAGTAATGTGTGATTGTATATTATTATTTCACATCCTTGTTTGATTAAAATCAAATGTAATTATTAAACGTTTCATTTGACAAACTTCCGTTTGGTGTACTATTACTTTAGAAGATGAAATCATTTGAACGTTATAAACCAATCAGGAAAATATTCGGAAATGACAATGTTTCCGATTTAAACTCTGTACAAGTATATTAGGTACATTCATTTAGTTAAAAAAAATGATCACAACAACATGTCTTCTACCCAGTGTAGTCTAGAATAAGGAAACGAGCGATACATTCAAGCATGTACATTAGGCAATGGTGAACGCAGAGTCGAAATACGGTAATGGAAATCAACGGAAAAACGTCAGTTCCCTACTAAGAAAGGCATCAGTTTAAACTTGCAGCTTCTTAAAACACTTACGCTTTCCATTGATTTGATCGACACAGCCTTGGCCAAGAAAGAAGATCTGAACTATCATATCGGTGCTAGTATATTCTTGACGGTCAAAGGTGACAGTGGCATCAGTTTAAACTTGCAGCTTCTTAAAACCCTTACGCTTTCCATTGATTTGATCGACACCCTTGGCCAAGAAAGAAGATCTGGACTGGGTTGCTCAAAACTCTGGTTAAATTTAACCACTGGTTAAGCTAACCATTGGTCAAATTTATTTTCCATTGGCTACTTAACCACTGGTCAAATTTCTGTTGCTCAAAGGGCAATTAGTTCATAGGCTAACTATCCATTGGTTAGCATGACTTAACCAGTGGATAGTATCCCATAATGCAATATACTTTGTCCATCTGTCAACAATGGCTGCCAAAAAGAGAAGTGAAAATTTCTCTACTGATGATGTTTTGTTCATTATAAGTAAGGTTGAAGAGAATATAGATGTTATTCAGTCGAAACAAACTAATCAAATAACAAATGCCAAGAAGGCAGGTGTGTGGAAAAGCATCACAGATGCTGTTAATGCCCGGGGTGGTGTAAATAGGACCGTTGAACAGGTCAAAGAGAAATACCGTAAGGCCTGTTCAAAAGCAAAGGGGGATAACGTAACCCAGAAGATTCATCGGAGAAAGACTGGTGGAGGGCCACCTCATCCCCCTCTTGATGCCATTTCTCAAAAGATATTGGATCTTCACGAGGACTCCCCTAATTTCACAGGCTTTCAAGGTGGGATTGAGGTTGGCGGATTTAATGTAACAGGTAAGTAATTTTGACAAACCTTTATTTATTATTTTTCTGTGTCTTCATAAATCTCGGCACAACTCGGTCCTTCGTCTGCATGAACTGGCGAGGAAATTCGCATTTTACTATAATCTGGAACGACGGCGTTTACTTCCGTGAGAAATATTAGATGAATTCATTGAAAGTCGTACGGGATCAAGTTTTACGTTTTTTGCTAACGCCGCACACTGTCTATGCATTGTAACATATTCTATAAGAAGCTTTTATTCTTTCTGCATCCACCAAAACAAATACAAAGGTCATGGTCAAATTAACTATTTCGCTCCTATGATGATTCGGTCCGTACTACTTTGACATTACACCGTGCAAATGTCGGTGATTTTCCATGCCGATGTACGCACAATTATTTCTGGCAAATAAATTAAAGTAAAGTACAAATCAAGGACAGACTAGAACCACTTTTATTTAATTTTAGTCAGAATTTTATTGTCATACAATGTTTTCTACAAGTCAAATTAAATTTCATTTAATTTGAATTATAAGCTTTTACTATATCTTTCACAGACTTAAAATATATACATCCAACAAAAAAAATTTAATTACCCTGTAGGCAGTTTGTTTCAAGACAAATTGTAGACATTTTTTATAATATTTATATGTATGTACAATTTCAGAGAAATCAGTTCCTAAACCTGAAGATAGTGACTGTGTTAATGAAGGTCTTGGTAAGCAAATCATATATATTCTGAACATATATCTAATAATGTAATACACAACCAGTTAAATAAATTAAAAACTATTATTAATAGTTTTGGGTAGTTTAAAAATTATTTTATTGAATAAATTTAATTTGACTTTTGAGAAACATTAATACACTATACTTATCACTTTCTTTCACTTAAAAAAAACTGTAAAAAAAAATCCAGCTTTGAGACTGAAACTCAAACTGAAAAATTTCAATCTCCAGTTATAACTCTATCAAATGTATGTAAACTACTTTTTACAATAATTGTACATATAAATATTTAATATTTATTTGTTTTAATTTCAGAATCACAGATCTCATGCAATACAAGTTCATGCAACACCTATAATGGATGTGGGCTTGAGACCTTAGCATCTAATGGTATTGACACTTTTGTAAATATATATCTGATTTTATAGAAACATTGAATATAAACATCCAAAGGAATTTAAATCAAAGAAATTTAAAATCTGCTGGAGATATGGGAAATTTTATTGCAATGTAGATTAAAATGATTGTTACTTATACACAGGTGAGAGCCAACAAATCATTGAACTTCCTGAAAATTCTTCAGGTATGGATTTGATTAATAAAGTTTTATTGCTCATTGATAAATATGAAAACAGAATATGCTTGAAATGAATTTATATTGTTTGAATTTAAACAAAAAATATATACATTTATTATATGTTTATGTTTACATTATTGGTGTCAGCAATTAACAATATAAATTATCTTGTGGTTTAATTTATACAGGATCACCTGTTGCATTCAATGTAACAATATCCAATTCAGGGACAACTGTTAGAAAGTCTGATTGTTCAGGTACACTTTCATAAATGTTATCATTCACATTTAATTGACCATATCATATGGATGAATTATGAAAATTAAATTTATATTTCAATTATGCATGCTTTACAGTGACATATTTTCATTGAATAATTCAGCTGAAGAGAAAAGAAAGAGGAAACCTATTGAAACAGGCAGTTCAGAATTACAATTAAAGGTGTCAGATCTTCAAAGACGTGTTCTGCTTGAGGATTTAGAGAGAATTAAGGAACAGAGGGAATTGATTAAGCTCCAGAAGACAAAAGTGGATCTTGAAATCAAGAAGCTTAAAATGGACATTGCTAATCATGAACCTAGCAATATAAATGAACCCTAAATTTTTAGCACACATGAGCCAAAGTCAGTGCTTTTTCTAATCATACTTTGTTGTTGTCATCGTTGTCATTCTAAACTTTCCAATTTTTTACCCTATATTAAAAAAAATTCAGAATTATTAGAATTATAAAAAACAAATGAGGACCCTTGGGTTGGATGGGGTCACAGTGGGGAATCAAATATTTATGTAGGAATAAGAAAGGGGGGCTTTTAAAATCTTCTCATACGAATAGTGAACCATTAATGATTTTTATGTAAGCCCTCCTATGAAGAAGGGAGGGTATATTGTTTTTCTGCTGTCTGTCGGTTGGTCTGTCGGTCCACTTAGTTTCCGTTCCAAGTTTGTTTAAATCATTTTCTCCTGGGGTAGGATGAGACTACAATAGGGGATCAGTGTTAAATACAGAAGTATATAGGGGGGGGGGGTCTGCTGATAAACTAAGAATAAGGTCAGAGTGTCTTTGGTGAGCTTTGTGGTCCATAGGCATCTTGTTCTTGATTTATATTTTTAAAAATGAAATTTCTCTGTGTTGTATTTCTTAGTTTGAAAAACTGTTGACATTTCTAAATATTCAGTTTTTAGCTGCATTAATAAAATTTCATCAAATTTTGAGAACACTCAGTTGAAATAATGCTCTGTGATAAATCTCCTGACATTATCATTGATGGGACCCTGCACTGCTCCGTCATTTCCCCCATTGTCTCCTGGGCCATTAATATCATCTTCCATTGGCTCATGTCTCTGAAGAGCTATATTGTGCAGTACAGCACAAGCCACCGCTATCTTTGCAACCCGCCCTGGTTCACACTAACACAAAAAAACATATTTGTAAAAATATGTTTAAGTAAATGCAAACTGTAACTAAATGTCAATGAATATTAAAATTTAATAGAATGGTCCTATAAATACTGAAGTATGTATTAGTGTACTCGGTACTTTCAGGCACTTAGAATGAGGAGGCAGGGGAGGGGATACTAGTACCATACCGTACCACTACACTTAAACTAGCTAGTCAAAACTTTTAGAACATGAGAGTAGGATACCCCTATGTCTTAACACCCCCCCTCCCAAAAATAAAAACTATTAAAAAATTAAACAGAATATTTTCTTAAAATTACTTTGTACTATCTAATTATTTGGAGATGTGTTATCTTAAGGTATGTATAGAGTAAGTTATTATTATTCAGGTAAGGTAGCATGTAGAATTTATTGAAGAATCAAAATTTTAAAAAAGTGAAAGAAAAAATTGTGAAAACATTAAAATTAAAACTCAATACCTGAAATAATTATCATCTTTTTAGTCAGGAGAATGTGTAAAATGTACTATATTGGAAAGGTTCATAGCAAGATCAGTGATTTTTTTGTTTGTTTGTTTCATTTGTAAGATGCTTACTTTATTTTCTTCATGAAGCACTATAAAACGCCTCTTCCACCAACCAAAACACCTTTCCACGACACCCCTAGTTTTTGCATGAGCATCATTGTACTTTATTTGTGCTCTAAGTGTAGAATTTTAAAAGAATATACACAGCATTACAAATAATGCATTAAACTTGGAATTAAAGTAACTTCGTCTGCTTACTATTATTCATGAAACTTAAAAAATGAATAGAATATAGCCCAATTTAGTGTTCCATTATATCGCTGTTTTTCTAAATTTTTCCAGTGCTCACAGTTTTCTAAATGAAAAGTAATTTAGTTATTCATGAATTTTATTTCATTGACATCAGTAATGGTACATGCATATACCTTGTACTAGGCCGCAGGTATGGCGTAAGTAAGTACCTACTGCAGGCATACCCACTATCTCCCAAAAGAACCCCGTCCACATCAATACCCCGATGGTTTCCTTCTAAATGAATGCCGATGTCCGAACTCCGGAAAATAAAAGAGTCGTGGTTCGAACCTGGCCACTTTGCAGAAACATTCAAAAATTTCCCTATAATAAACCAGCAATGTGACTTTCAAAAATGTGTTTGAAATATCATAATTATATTTGCATGAGACGTGGGAGGGTAAATAGTGATAGGGATTTATGTCTGTTTGTCTGTCCACTTCCGTCCATATCCTGTACATCCGTCCGCCTGTCTGTACCTCCGTTATGCTTTGTGGTTCCCATTTCATATCTGCAAGTCCTCCTCTACCACTGAATGAAATCTAATGAAACTTTCACAGAGTCTTTGTTATAAAGTGCATTTGAGAGGCTTATTGTACATTTTTATTTGACAATTATTTGGGGTCCCCAAGAGCAAAACATGGACTTTCGCCATATATATTTATAGGGGGGGGGGGTATCATTCAGTGAGTTTACTGCTCGCGGTACCACTAGTTAGATATATTAACTACATGTATGTTACATGTAACTTATTATATTTGTAGTAGTAAAAGGATTTATTGATTCGCAGTCTATCACTTTACCTTTGAATATTTAACTCGTATGGAAATATTACCATTTTCAAACTTTCACCCTACACATGTACTTCCAGGCATTTGGCCATTATTGAATTGAAGAAGAGGGGGTTTTCTAATGAGGAAAATGTATCGTTGGTAAAATATCACAGCTCTAAGATTACCTGTATGGTCACATATTCCCTGGACATTTATGGAGTGAAACCCCTTTCTATTAACATAGGTATGTTCATATTCTCTCGGGGACTGGATTCGAATATGAGTCCCATCTACAGCCCCGATAACTCCAGGGAATGAGGCAATGGAGTAAAATCCCTGCTTAATGGTCATCTTCTCTGCTGGATCTGTGGGCCATTTGATATATTGTGGAGCAATATCACACAGTGCGGCTGACACATCCCTAACACTCCTGGACACGCTAGAAACATGGAAACCCATGGTATCCCCAATTGTTGTCATTTTGTCCCCAGTCGCATAATATCTCAGTGCCATTCAAACTTGTTCATGTGCAGTCATTGCATTAGAACGCAGTGTTGGGCGGCACAGATACGGCTCCAGCATATATGTAATTTCTGCTACTGTTTCTCTAGAAAATCTGTACCTAGATGAAAATTCCCCCTCTTCAAAATTGTGATGGAAATGTCTATATACCCTTTCTTTTCTTTGTCGTCTGCCAAAGTTGGAATCGAAGACTAACCTTGCAGCCATAACTAACCACTGGTTAACAGTTAGCACAGCTCCCTTAGGTGTGCTAAAGTTAACCAGTGGTTAGATGAAATTAACCTTTGGACAAGTAACTTTAACCAGTGGACAAATTTTGAGCAATGGAATTTAACCAATGGTTAGAAATTAACCGCTGGATAAGAGATTTAACCAGTGGTTAAACTTAACCAGAGTTTTGAGCAACTCAATCCTGAACTATCATATCGGTGCTAATATATTCTTGACGGTCAAAGGTGACAGTCCCTGTGTTAACAAAGAAAAAACTGGAAACCAGAGAATGAAGAAAACCTCGTACCCACCAAGAAGGGGATTTGCCTCTGCCCTTTCGAATACTTAAATCTGAAATCACATCTGAGTAGAATTGAAAAAGCTGTTCCCGAACTTGAAAACACCGAACCCTGTTTCCTACAAGACAGTCATCAAAATCAACTAAGAATGCTTCAATGTGCAGTGTGTAATCCCTTAGAATATCAGAACTGGTGAAACGATTACAGACGAAATGTGTCGAAATATTTACAATGTAAAAAACTGTATAATTGTTTGTGACAATCACACCCTTTATGTATTGTGAATCGCTATTTTAACCTTGTGTTTAAATTCGTATTAAGTATAATTATGTATTTAAATAAATATATGTATCAAACACGAATCCATAATTTTGTTATAAATCATAATTAACCATCGAAATGCGAATAAATTACAAATCAATGGTTGAACAAAGCGTTGTGTATCAAGCAAAAAAAATTTTATACGAGTAATATGATGTCTTCTACCAAGTGTCGTTTAAAACTATAATCTTATACAACAATAAATGGTGTATGAAAAAAGGATTTTCATCAATGTAAATTGCGGAGAATAAGTTCATTACAATTCTCCCCCCCCCCCCCACCTCCGTGTGTATACTCCCAAACACCAAACGAATTCGATCACAAACCAATACGACACATCGGAGGAGGGGGGAGCAGGGTTGTGCTTGTTTTGTTTTGAATTCTTAGCAAAACACTGTTTTCGACACCCGAATTATGTAATCTAAAATAATTTTATACAAGTCATTTATGTTGTTTTACACTTTTAAATCATTCAAATGAAAGAAAAACCAAAGATGAGTGTTGTGTATGTAACAGGGGTGTTACTATGGAAGCAAATACAATTGAACACTCCTGTCAGGGTTCTTCAATGATTTATTGCACAGTGGAGTGATAGTTATAATATGTAGTATATTGTGTAAGCCCTGTTAATATCATAAAACAACAATAAATATAATGTAAATAATTATCACACACACAATGTTCATTATTTTACATAAAGATAATTATTGAATTATTATCGTTTATATTTACATTGTCATCAAAGGGAGATAACTCTCGAATATATAAATCTTTACATATTACTCCCATAATAGTCATAAAAAATATATTTAAGATTAAAAACATATAAATATGAATCTCACCATTCTATGGGAATAGGCTTTCCCACAAATTGTTATACAAGTATCTACATGATTGGTGATCTGTAATTTAATACAATTTATTTAAAAATATTATCCCTTTTAAAAATATATATGAAATATATGGAGATAACGAACAGTATTCAAGCTCTAAAGTCCATTATACAATACAAAATAGGAGCAGAGCAAACACGGACCTCCAAACATCAGAGGTGGGATCAGGTGCCATGGAGGAGTGAGCATCCCCTGCCGACCGGTCACACCCGCCGTGTGCTCCTTGTCATGATCGGGAAATAACGGAAAAATCCGTCGACAATTCAGTGTGTAAATAATGGTCTAACAATTAGTATGAAAAACGTCAGTCAGCATTTGACTCAATGATAAATTGTATTTGCTGACAAGGTCATTGTATCGACCAAAGAACTTACGAAATGATGACTTTAAACGAGACAGCTGATATTCTTGTTTCAACAACTTATTTGTCAATAATTTACCTCGTTTTAGAAATTGTACATACGTAGAGCATGCTCTTGCGTATCGAATCAACTGAGAGATATATACCCCGTATGCAGGTGATGAAAACTTCATATATCAGTTTCTTGTCATTGCTTACTCATAAAAAGAATCCAGGTAAAGAAAACATTCGAAACTGTTTTTTCAGAGACACCAAAAAGTCTTGAGAGTTCGAAATTGGTAGTATGACGTCTCCACTTACAAAGAACCATGAAAAACTGGTCTTGGACACTAATATTTGACACTTTTTGATATACATAATTTAAACAATATGCAGCAGGCCTCAGGGTTCTCAAAACAAAATAAAACTTAATCAATGATTCAAGTCCAGTGTAAAAGTGTACTCCAGCGTCATCATTAATGAAATTGTCTACACTCATTGGAGGATACTGTGGGGTCTGTGTGTGGACATTATGAAAATGTTTGAATCTTGTACAACTTCAATGGACTCCTCAGGTATCACACTTGAGTTAAAAGAATTTCCTCTACAGTTTGTAAATCATCAGACTCGGTGCAATATACAAGTTCAGTATCGTCTGATGCTGAAAACTCTTCTGCCAGTTTTTTTTTTTGACGCCCCGAGACTTTGCTCTATTTGCTCTGGCTGCTGAATGGGGACTAGGTTCAACCAACGGGAATATGCTTGGAATGGCATTTTTCTTCAATCTTTTATTCAGTGGTGTTGTTCCTTTATTAAATATAAGTTCATACTCATTAGAAATTTTTAATATTTCTTCACCTTTATTATACATTTTTTTCTTTTTGGTTAAAATAATAAAAACAATGGATTCAACTCGTAATTTTATCAAAACAATAATTTTACTAGCAGCAGTTTATAACACAGTCATGTTACCCTAAATCATTAATTTATTGAGGAATCTGCTTTATATTTTCACAGTGTGATAAGAAATAGTATCTGCTTTTAGTAGAGCAAACAAAGAAACATCTTCTTAGATATGCATCGGGCAATTAACAAAAGCAGCATGATGCCTTTTAGACATGTTTCTTGCATATTTAATTCTTGGGTTTACCAGGCTAATCCAAATCAGTCAGCGGTGTCACCCTTGTGGCTGTACATCTCTTTGTACCACTATCGTATTCACTAATTGACACGTTAAATAATTGTTGATTTATCATATTACATGTTTTTAATTGAAAAGGAAGAATAAAAGGTATATTCAACAAGTAAAATTATTAAATAAAAACATAAATAAATAAATAATACCGTGCGAGGTTTCAGTTACATAATCGTCTGCTTTGAAATGTGCACGACATACAACCGCATGAGTAGACGGTTCCCTGCTCTGAAAACGAGTTTCTCCCCGTTGAACTGCATGTATCCCAAGATTTTCTTAATGGGACTGATAGAAATACATGACCACCCCGGTTACTACATTCCGGCACACAACAAGTTTCAGGGATGATTCACAACGTGTTTGACAGCAGTTTGTTTACGTTTTATAGATTACTCACTATAGATAAAGCGCGAGGGTATTCCGATTCAGGACCGAGTTTTTCTGTGGCGCCCCCTAAAGGAAAGATAACAGGAGACAGTTCACCATTGATGAAAAAAAAATGTGATTGCGTTGTAGTGCATTGGAGCTCTCAGGTCTTCAATCAATACCCCTTGGTGAATCTGAAATGTAAAAGCAAAAAATTTTAATACGATAAATTGCATCTTGCAAATTTATATTGTAATTTCAAAGTGAAAAATAACTCACCTTATATATTAAAAAGAATGTTTTACTTCACCTGTAATGCCGATTATTGGTCATTCTCTACCTGTTCATCCATTTCATTTCTTTTTCTTTCTTCATTTACCTGTAGTTGAACTCTGAAGAATTTTTTTATGTTTGCAAAACAAACAATACATAAATATAATATCTGCCACTGCTACAAGTACACAACATATTATAGATAAAATAAATGCTACGCTTGACAAGTCTTCCGGAACTCGAATATCACCAGATAGAATGAGATCTCCAAGACTTCTGAAAATTTGTTCATTATTCTTTACCTTCTGTTCCAATTTGTAAATTATTTTCTCTGTCCTGAGCTAAAAAGTTTGAATCAGTGTCCAGAAAATTAAACTTTGGCAAACGGAATTCTAGTTCTTTTTTTTTAATCTTGACTGGCTTCTAAAGGGTTTCTTAATTTTTCATCCAATGTACTCCTTACCATAACTAAATTTATACGATGACGGTATTCTGGCCCTATTCTGTCTTCTTTACTTTCACAGTCCTGTGTGGACGAGGTCATAAATTCTACTTGATTTTCCTTAATCACGCAATTAAAGTTTTAGGAGTAGGTCGACTGAAAAGTAGGTCATTGTGACCTACTTTTGAAAATTTGTGCCTTTAATTAAATATTTCAGGTACTAATTGGCTACGAATTATCACACTTTGTCAGTTGATGCATCTTAGGTCATCGGAGTACAACAACTGAAAAGTTGGTCACTGTGGCCCTCTTTTGAAATTGTATGGCTTTAATTAAATATTTCAGGTACTAATTGGCTTAGAATCATCACACTTTGTCAGTTGATGCATCTTGGGTCCTCGGAGTACGACTGCTGAAAAGTAGGTCACCATTACCTACTTTTGAAATTTTATGGCTTTATTTAAATAAGGTAGCAATTGGCTTAGAATCATCAAACTTTGTCATCTTGGGTCCTCAATGTATGTCATCTGAAAAGTAAGTCACTGTGACCTACTTTTGAAATTTTATGGTTATAATTTTAAAAATATTTTAGGTATTAATTGGCTAAGAATCATCAAAC